ACGCCGCAGTTGAAGCAACGCGGGAGCGCCGGCGGCGATGACGGACGGTCGAAGCGGCTCGACCCATCCCGGCCCGACCGTGCTCCCGCCCCCTGCTGCCGACGATGGTTGACGGCGAAAACCTCCTCCGCCGGGAGGGTGGCTGCCGCCACCGCACGCCCGGCCGCTGCCCTGCTGGCCTTCCGCCGCTGTGACAGCAGGTTGGCGTGGAGGAGTCGCGCCGCTTGTAGGGAAGTCATCTCCGTATCCTCCTGTGCAACGACGGCGATGTCCAGGTCGTCTGCCAGCAGGAGGATTTTTTCAGTCACCATGGCGTCGACCCCGTCCTCGTCCATGCGAGGGAAGGCTGTCTTGGCCAACGCCAGGAGACTTGTTCTGTTTGCCAGGGGCGACTCCTTCGCGCCCCGCTGGCGGTCGTAGAACTGCTGCCTGCATTCCGCGGAAGGTCCGTAGACCCCGGCCAGCAGCTGCAGCGCCATCGGTAGCGTAGAGCGCTTCTCCTTCGGCGCCGATGTGAGGGCGGCGAGCGCGTCGCCGTCGAGGAGCGCCGGCAGCGCGCAGAGAGCTTCAGCATCTGTCCATTTGGCCATTTCTTGGTGGGCGAGGAAGCGTCGCTGGAAGCCGCCCCAGTCGCCTTCTGCGCCCACAAATTCTTTAAGCGGAGGCAGTCTTTGGTGCAGCGCAGCGGTTGCCGTGGAGTCCCGCGGGCTGCTGTCTCCCCGACTCGGCTGTGTCTCGGCGCGAACGGCAGATGGTATCGCCTGTCGCAGCCGTGATGACGCGCCCTCCTCCGTCGTAGACGCGGCAGCCCCAGCGCGGCCGATGTCGGACCCGAGGTTCAGGCTGGCCACGCCCCTAGCGGCCGCCGCATCGATGGCGGGAAATTCAAAGTTTGAATCTTCGGAAATGGCGGGAAGGCGCTCCGGACGCCGGCTCCCCTCGCCCCGCGGTGGACCACCAGCCCCCAGCCGCGTGATGTTTTCCAGCGTGGCTGCAGCGGCGTAAAGTAGTTCAGCCAGCCTCTCGTGAGCCAGCCTCAGCCCGTCTGTCTGCGGCTCCTCTTCATGCCGACGCTCCGGTAAGAACGCGTCCGGCCCCGGCTGCACGGTGTCTTGTTGAGCCATCTCGGGCTCGACAATTTCGGCGGCGTCCTCCAATTGTTGTACTTTGGCCCGAGCTGATTGGCGCGTGTCCATGTTCGTAGTTCTTCTGACGCCAGATGAAGTACTCTTGAAGACGCTTGGACACCGTTGTAAGGCACACGTGTTTATTTACACAATGGTCGTACAGTACTAGAGGGGTGTATCGGCCCCCTCACCCGTATAACTGGGGATACACCTCTAGCTATCCTTCCTACCCCGAGTCCTCCACTAACGGGCTAGGGGAGGCTGTCTGGCCCGACACTGGTCAGTCGGGCTACGGTACCCGGAGTCCCAGAGTACTAACTCTGGTTCACGGGACCACGCCACTGGCTCCAGCCTGCGCTGCCCTGATAAGGGCGGCGTCCCAGGGGGAGTCCAGGGCCTATCTGGTCGGTCTTCCGTCTTCCCCTAATTACTCTAAGACTGAACCCCGAGCTCTCTGGCTCATCCCTTTTTATACCCCCCTAGAGGATCACAACCCCCCTCACGCCGTCCGGTGCGGACGTCGTTGCGGGCACCACCCCGTGTACTGGCGGAGTCCCCGCCCACTGTGTTTGTTATCCGTTAGCTCCTATGCAAACAGCCCTACACAAACAGCCCCTCTGTAACAGCCCTACAAGTCTATGGTTAGTGTTGAGTCTATGGGCAGTGTTGAGTCTATGGGTAGTGTTGAGTCTATGGGCAGTGATGAGTCTATGGGTAGTGTTGAGTCTATGGTTAGTGTTGAGTCTATGGGCAGTGTTGAGTCTATGGGTAGTGTTGAGTCTATGGGCAGTGATGAGTCTATGGGTAGTGATGAGTCTATGGGTAGTGTTGAGTCTATGGGCAGTGATGAGTCTATGGGTAGTGTTGAGTCTATGGGCAGTGTTGAGTCTATGGGTAGTGTTGAGTCTATGGTTAGTGTTGAGTCTATGGGCAGTGTTGAGTCTATGGGTAGTGTTGAGTATATGGGGAGTGTTGAGTCTATGGGTAGTGTTAGTCTATGGGCAGTGTTAGTCTATGGGGAGTGTTGAGTCTATGGGTAGTGTTGAATCTATGGGTAGTGTTGAGTCTATAGGCAGTGTTAGTCTATGGGCAGTGTTGGGTCTATGGGCAGTGTTGAGCCTATGGGCAGTGTTGAGTCTATGGGTAGTGTTGAGTCTATGGGCAGTGTTGAGTCTATGGGTAGTGTTGAGTCTATGGTTAGTGTTGAGTCTATGGGCAGTGTTGAGTCTATGGGCAGTGTTGAGTCTATGGGTAGTGTTGAGTCTGAAGTACTCTTGAAGACGCTTGGACACCGTTGTAAGGCACACGTGTTTATTTACACAATGGTCGTACAGTACTAGAGGGGTGTATCGGCCCCCTCACCCGTATAACTGGGGATACACCTCTAGCTATCCTTCCTACCCCGAGTCCTCCACTAACGGGCTAGGGGAGGCTGTCTGGCCCGACACTGGTCAGTCGGGCTACGGTACCCGGAGTCCCAGAGTACTAACTCTGGTTCACGGGACCACGCCACTGGCTCCAGCCTGCGCTGCCCTGATAAGGGCGGCGTCCCAGGGGGAGTCCAGGGCCTATCTGGTCGGTCTTCCGTCTTCCCCTAATTACTCTAAGACTGAACCCCGAGCTCTCTGGCTCATCCCTTTTTATACCCCCCTAGAGGATCACAACCCCCCTCACGCCGTCCGGTGCGGACGTCGTTGCGGGCACCACCCCGTGTACTGGCGGAGTCCCCGCCCACTGTGTTTGTTATCCGTTAGCTCCTATGCAAACAGCCCTACACAAACAGCCCCTCTGTAACAGCCCTACAAGTCTATGGTTAGTGTTGAGTCTATGGGCAGTGTTGAGTCTATGGGTAGTGTTGAGTCTATGGGCAGTGATGAGTCTATGGGTAGTGTTGAGTCTATGGTTAGTGTTGAGTCTATGGGCAGTGTTGAGTCTATGGGTAGTGTTGAGTCTATGGGCAGTGATGAGTCTATGGGTAGTGATGAGTCTATGGGTAGTGTTGAGTCTATGGGCAGTGATGAGTCTATGGGTAGTGTTGAGTCTATGGGCAGTGTTGAGTCTATGGGTAGTGATGAGTCTATGGGTAGTGTTGAGTCTATGGGCAGTGATGAGTCTATGGGTAGTGTTGAGTATATGGGGAGTGTTGAGTCTATGGGTAGTGTTAGTCTATGGGCAGTGTTAGTCTATGGGGAGTGTTGAGTCTATGGGTAGTGTTGAATCTATGGGTAGTGTTGAGTCTATAGGCAGTGTTGAGTCTATGGGCAGTGTTGAATCTATGGGCAGTGTTGAGTCTGTGGGTAGTGTTAGTCTATGGGTAGTGTTGAATCTATGGGTAGTGTTGAGTCTATGGGCAGTGTTGAGTCTATGGGCAGTGTTGAGTCTATGGGCAGTGTTGAGTCTATGGGCAGTGTTGAGTCTATGGCAGTGTGAGTCTATGGGTAGTGTTAGTCTATGGGCAGTGTTGGGTCTATGGGCAGTGTTGAGTCTATGGGCAGTGTTGAGTCTATGGGTAGTGTTGAGTCTATGGGCAGTGTTGAATCTATGGGCAGTGTTGAGTCTGTGGGTAGTGTTAGTCTATGGGTAGTGTTGAATCTATGGGTAGTGTTGAGTCTATGGGCAGTGTTGAGTCTATGGGCAGCGTTGAGTCTATGGGCAGCGTTGAGTCTATGGGCAGTGTTGAGTCTATGGGCAGTGTTAGTCTATGGGGAGTGTTGAGTCTATGGGTAGTGTTGAATCTATGGGTAGTGTTGAGTCTATAGGCAGTGTTGAGTCTATGGGCAGTGTTGAATCTATGGGCAGTGTTGAGTCTGTGGGTAGTGTTAGTCTATGGGTAGTGTTGAATCTATGGGTAGTGTTGAGTCTATGGGCAGTGTTGAGTCTATGGGCAGCGTTGAGTCTATGGGCAGTGTTGAGTCTATGGGCAGTGTTGAGTCTATGGGTAGTGTTAGTCTATGGGCAGTGTTGAGCCTATGGGCAGTGTTGAGTCTATGGGTAGTGTTGAGTCTATGGGCAGTGTTGAGTCTATGGGTAGTGTTGAGTCTATGGTTAGTGTTGAGTCTATGGGCAGTGTTGAGTCTATGGGTAGTGTTGAGTCTATGGGCAGTGATGAGTCTATGGGTAGTGTTGAGTCTATGGTTAGTGTTGAGTCTATGGGCAGTGTTGAGTCTATGGGTAGTGTTGAGTCTGTGGGCAGTGATGAGTCTATGGGTAGTGATGAGTCTATGGGTAGTGTTGAGTCTATGGGCAGTGATGAGTCTATTGGTAGTGTTGAGTCTATGGGCAGTGTTGAGTCTATGGGTAGTGATGAGTCTATGGGTAGTGTTGAGTCTATGGGCAGTGATGAGTCTATGGGTAGTGTTGAGTCTATGGGCAGTGTTGAGTCTATGGGTAGTGTTGAGTCTATGGGCAGTGTTGAGTCTATGGGTAGTGTTGAGTCTATGGGCAGTGTTGAGTCTATGGTTAGTGTTGAGTCTATGGGTAGTGTTGAGTCTATGGGCAGTGTTGAGTCTATGGGCAGTGTTGAGTCTATGGGCAGTGTTGAGTCTATGGGCAGTGTTAAGTCTATGGATAGTGTTGAGTCTATGGGCAGTGTTGAGTCTATGGGTAGTGTTGAGTCTATGCTCAGTGTTGAGTCTATGCTCAGTGTTAAGTCTATGGATAGTGTTGAGTCTATGGGCAGTATGTATATATGTTGAACTTCTTTCACACCGTACGTAGCCAACCACGCTAATAGTGTCTAAGATCAGGCGCACCAATCCTCGCGTACACGCACGCGCGCACGGAACATCGACTTGAAACTCGAGAATGAGACGTCGAACGTTTGCCGGACGTTGAACGCGAGACATCCCCCGCCCTCCCCCCGTGTCTCATCAGGCCCTCCGGACCCGCCGCGGTCCGTGGTGGCGACAGACGTGACCACCACCTCGGTCTCCCTGTCTTGGGTCCCCGGCTTTGACAACTACAGCCCCGTGACGGCCCACAGGGTGGAGAGCCGCTGCGGCCACTGCGGCCGCTGGGCGACCGCCACGACCGGTGAGGGAGGTGCGGCGAGCCGGTTCGCTCTCACGGATCACCACCACCACCACCAACTCGCATGTTGTCACGTGCCCGGCAATGGCTGCGTAACATGTCCAGTCGTGCTCACGTGCGGGGATGGGGGGATTCATCTTCTTGGTTCTTTCGGTAAAGTCACGTAGAATGGAAATAATAAAATAATAAAAATAAAACATAATAAAATAATTCTCACGACGTTTCGGCCACAACACAAGTAGCCGTCCTCAGGTGGAGAACAGGTCTGTCGAGGAGACAGAGTAATTCAGACTCAGGCCGAAACGTCGCGAGAATTATTTTATTATGTTTTATTTTTATTACTTTATCATTTCCATTCTACGTGACTTTACCGAAAGAACCAAGAAGATGAATCCCTGCAGTCACGAAAGCTTCAAATTGATGGGGGGATTGTTGTACATTCACAGAGCCGGCGATCATCGCGGCCGACAGGAACGGTGCCCGGGTCACGGGGCTGACCCCTTGGACGGAGGCGGAGTTCCGCGTGGTCTCCAGCAACGCACACGGGGACGGCGCGCCCAGCGCCTCCTCGGGGTTCCTCCACACCCTCCCCACCGGTTGCCCCCCCCCCCTCCCTCCCCCGTCCCACCACCGCCACCGCCACCACCATCGCCGCCACTGCCGCCGCCCCAGTCACGTCCATCGCTCGCTCTAGGGCACCGCCTTTGTTTTGACACGGAACGTCTGAGGCCAAACGTCTCGTTCGAAGAGTTCCTTGAGACGTGACACTGACTTGGGATAGAACCTCTCAATTTTGACAGTTCCTTGAGACAAAACGTCCCGTTTGAAGATTCTCTTGAGATAGAACACTTTTGATTTAAAGCTTTCGTGACTGCAGGGATTCATGTTCTTGGTTCTTTCGGTAAAGTCACGTAGAAGGGAAACAATAAAATAATTTAAAAAAACATAATAAAATAATTCTCACGACGTTTCAGCCCCCTCCAACCCAGCTTAAATATACGCTGCCAAGCCTGGTGGTTTTCATTCAGACGCTGTCTTTCCGACAGACCTGTTCTTCACCTGAGGACGGCTGCTTGCGTCACGTAGAAGGGAAACAATAAATAATACAAATATAAATGGAAACAGACAAAGATCCCCCTATAGACTTGACAGACTGTAGGGGCAAGTGCTGCTAGCGGAGTAGCACCTATGAAGGCCGGCACGGCACACGAGGGGGTGGGTGGCCAGCACCGCACCCGGCCGCCTTTGTCTCCCCAGTGGCGATGTTTACGCACCGCACCAGGTACTCATTTGAGGTTGAGTCGACCTAGGAGAGGCCCAGGACTGTTTCAGATAATCGTCACCAGTGTTGGTGCTGTCCGTGAGTTGGAATTGAACTAGGCTCGCCGGGTTGCAGTGCAGCGCGCTAACCGCTACACAATCGCTCCCCCATCTTCAAACGTACACACACAGAGGTTATTGTTACACTATTTTAGTTTTTTGTGAGCTAGGTTTAATATATATATATGTTTTAAAACCATACTGAGCTGTTGGCTCTTACTCATTGTTTTTTTCGGTAAAGTCACGTATGTGGAAATAAAATATAAATAAAATAAAATTAAATTTCGATTTAAAGCTTTCGTGACTGCAGGGATTCATCTTCTTGGTTCTTTCGGTAAAGTCACGTAGAAGGGAAGTAATAAAATAATAAAAATAAAACATAAAGCAATTCTCACTGAGAATTGTCACTGAGAATTGTTGTATTATGTTTCATTTTTATTATTTTATTACTTCCCTTCTACGTGACTTTACCGAAAGAACCAAGAAGAAAAATAAAATTAGATTAAAATAAATCACGACGTTTCGAACGCAACACAAGCGCTCATCACCAGGTGGAATTGGGGTAAAACACATAGCGAGGGCACACAGACAGAGCGACATCTGCAGTCACGAAAGCTTCAATTCTATATTTACTGTTGGCTCTTGTTTGGAGGCGAGATTGTTTTGAGTATTTGGCTGCTACTATGAATGTCCACGTAATGGTGAAGAGCCCCTTCGTTGAGGTATCACTTGCGACTGCCAGGGCGCTTCGAGACGCGCTGCATCTGCGTCCGTCTGGAACGCTCTTCTGTCCAATATCAGAAAGCCTCTGGGAACCCACGTGCACATGCACGTCATCGGAATGGGAAAGGGTTAAGATTCGGCCGCTATGAAGTAACGGTCAGCAGCGCGCTGGACTCGTCATCCAGAAGGCACCGGTTCGACTCCATCCGCTGGTGGGTTCACCATGGTTTAGCCGATGATCGGTGAGGGCCACGTGGTGGTGGTGGTGGTGGGGTAAAGCGTGCGTGGGTGTAACTCCCAACCTCTTCCAAGACGTACTAGCTAGCGCGGAAGACCAGGCCACACATCACCGTCTGGAATCTGGCTCTCGCCGGGAGGGTTTCCATCTCGTTGTGAAACAAATCTCAGCCGAACCGAGACGCTGACGACCTCCACCCCCCCCACCCCCCCACCCCCCCCCCCCCCCACCCCCCCCGTCTCTCTACAGCTCCCGTGGTCATCCCCGAGGGGCTGTCTGGGGGAGGAGGAAGTCATCCGGAACTCGTCATCACCTGGAAGGTGACCGCCGGTCAATTGTGTCCCTTCTACGAATCTCTTCCCCTATTTAATCCCTATCCTACTAACCCCCTCCCCTACTAACCCCTCCCCTACTAACCTCCTCCCCTACTAACTTTCTCCCCTACTAACCTCCTATACTACTAACCTACTACCCTATTAATCCCCTACCCTACTAACCCCCTCCCCTACTAACCCCCTCCCCTACTAACCTCCTCCCCTACTAACTTTCTCCCCTACTAACCTCCTATCCTACTAACCCCCTACCCTACAAACTTCCTCCCCTACTAACCTCCTATCCTACTAACCTACTCCCCTATTAATCCCCTACCCTACTAACTTCCTACCCTACTAACCCCCTACCCTACTAACTTCCTACCCTACTAACCCCCTTCCCTACTAATTTCCTCCCCTATGAATCCCATACCCTAATAACCTACTCCTTTATTAATCCCCTACCCTACTAACCCTACTAACTTCCTACCCTACTAACCCCCTCCCCTACTAACCCCCTACCCTACTAAACCCCTACCCTACTAACCCCCTACCCTACTAACCCCCTACCCTACTAACCCTACTAACTTCCTACCCTACTAACCCCCTCCCCTACTAAACCCCTACCCTACTAACCCCCTACCCTACTAAACCCCTACCCTACTAACCCCCTACCCTACTAACCCCCTACCCTACTAACCCCCTACCCTACTAACCCTACTAACTTCCTCCCCTACTAACCTCCTACCCTACTAACCTACTCCCCTATTAATCCCCTACCCTAATAACCCTACTAACCCCCTACCCTACTCACCCCATCCCCTACTGACCTCCTCCCCTATTAATCCCCTACCCTACTAATTTCCTACCCTACTCACCCCCTACCCTACTAATCCCCTCCCCTACTAACTCCCTCCCCTACTAACCCCCTACTAACCCCCCCCACCCCCCCCACCCAGCCCGTGGAGCGCCGCCTGCACTTCGGGCCCAGCCTGGGCTACGTTGTTGCGTTCCGTGAGAACGCCACCGCGACCCTCTGGCGCCACGTGACGGTCCCCGCGTGGAACGCGTCGCGCTACTCGCACCGCCGCTCCGACGGTGACGCAGCGCGGCCCTTCACGGCCTTCCTCGTGCGGATCCGGGCCTTCAACGGCGCCGGCGAGGGCCCATTCGGCAACGCCACGCTGGTGCACTCGGCCGAGAGAGGTGACGGGGGAGGTGGAGGTGGGGGGTATGGCTGCAGGGTTTTGGTAGTACATGTTGTTTGTCGTTTATTCCGTCACAGTTCCTAGTTCCTATGATCACTGCTGTTTCATTGCTTTTATGGCTTTATTTTGGTGATTTCGAAAAGTGTATTGGTTTGGCCATGTTTGTTTGTTGTAGTACAGAGTAAGACTGATGGCCTTAATCTAAGTTGTCTTGTGGTTGTTGTTGTTGTTTGACTTGCATCCCACTGGGATTTTTGCACACAGCGTTGGTGTACGGTGATTTTTTCTGCAATATTTTGCTGTCTTTTCTTGGATTTTCTGTTTGCACTTAGTCACATATTCATTTGAAGATGTCTTTTTTGTTCATGTTTTTGTTTTTTGTTTGTTGCGGTTGCACCCGATTCAAGAGCCGAATGGCTCACAGGGCTATACCTAATACATGCACTTGAACTTGAGTGGAAGGGTGAGGAGTTAGGGGGGCCGTCCGTAGATGACGTCACGCACCTGGGGGGGGGGGGGTTGAGAAACGTGACGTCACATAAAAATGCGCAACTTTAAATACATATAGACAACACGTTCTACTTAATTAAATCGACTTTTTAATAAACGTTTTCTCCTACAACATCAGAGTGCAGCGCCACATTAAATACGCACTACAATGACAATAGTTTAACGCGATTTGAAGCATGTTTTATATTATTTGGGGGGGGGGGGGCAGAACTTTGTGACGTCATATGAGAAGGGGTGGGGGGGGCTGACTTTTTGTGACGCCGTGTGACGAAGGGGGGAGGGGGGGGGTAAAAAATCCTCCAAAATCGCGTGACGTCATTTATGGACGGCCCCTTAGCGGTGGTGGCTGGGGGGGGATGAGTAGGGGGCGACGTGGTGAGTGTCGGGGTGAGGAGTTTAGCGGTGGGTGATCGGGGGGGGGGGCTGACGAGAACTAACGGAGGTAGAGAATCACCTGAAACAACACCAACAAAAACATTGAACACAATATCGCCCAATAATAGATCACGATCTAAACCAAATATAAGTATAACCAGTAAAAACAAAGTTTTTCACTATAAATCCTTTATATGTGTGGCGGCTAGAGTCCTCTCGTCCTCTGGATTGAGATGGCTGTCACCTATGGGTCAGATGATTGCATTGCACCATTAAGCAATTGGTAATTAAATATAATATTTTAGTCCTAAAAAATGTAACATTTTGGAATTTTTTTTTAACGAACATTAATTGTTACGCACAACGAGTCTGTGTGGAAAATGTCAGCTCGATTGGATCACGGGAAGTGGGTTAAAAAACGACCGAAAGATCTGCACGGTCCTAAGCAAGCAAGCTAACTTAATATAAAGGATTTAAAAACCTCTACAGTAAAACTTTGCATTGCGAGCATAATTCGTTCCGTAAACGTGTTTGTAATCCAAAGCACTCGTATATCAAAGCACTCGTGTCTCAGTTGTGATCACGTGACGCTCGGCAGACAAAGCGTATACACCCACTACTCGTATTGCAAGACCTCGCTCGTTTATCAAATTAAAATGTACTTAAATGTTTTGCTCGTCTTGCAAAACACTCGCAGACCAAGTTACTCGCAATCCAAGGTTTTACTGTATTATCAACATAAAAACAACCTTTTACGATGAAAGCCTCCTCTGTTTGAATCATCTTGACGCCGGCAAAAAAAAAATTTTTAACCCCCACAGATCGATTGTGGAAATGGTCTCGTTGATTTTATTATGATTAACATTTGCGTTGTCGATTGTATTTATTCACGACAGCACCCATCGTGGCACCTGTGGGCGTGCGCGCGAGGGCCCTGTCGTCATCGGAGGTGGACATCGCCTGGCAACCGCTTCCAGCCGCCCTGATCAGCGAACAGCGCATCCACGGCTATGAGGTCTCGGCACGTCCACCTACTCACGATCGTCCACCTACCCTCATGCTCGACCACCTACCTTCACGTGTCCACCTACTCTCACTCGTCCACCCACCCCCACTCGAGCACCCACCCTCACATGTCCACCCACCTCCACTCGTCCACCCACCCCCACTCGTCCACCCACCCCTACTCGTCCACCCACCCCACTCGTCCACCAACCCTGACTCGTCCACCCACCCTCACAGGTCCACCCACCCCGACTCGTCCACCAACCCTCACTCGTCCACCCACCCCACTCGTCCACCCACCCCGATTCGTCCACCAACCCTCACTCGTCCACCCACCCGACTCGTCCACCCACCCTCACTCGTCCACCCACCTCCACTCGTCCACCAACCCTCACTCGTCCACCCATCCCACTCGTCCACCAACCCTCACTCGTCCACCCACCCCACTCGTCCACTAACCCTCACTCGTCCACCCACCCCACTCGTCCACCCACCCCCACTCGTCCACCCACCCACACTCGTCCACCCACCTCCACTCGTCCACCCACCCTCACACGTCCACCAACCTTCACTCGTCCACCCACCCTCACTCGTCCACCAACCTCCACTCGTCCACCCACCCACACTCGTCCACCCACCTCCACTCGTCCACCCACCCTCACACGTCCACCAACCTCCACTCGTCCACCCACCCTCACTCGTCCACCAACCTCCACTCGTCCACCCACCCACACTCGTCCACCCACCTCCACTCATCCACCCACCCTCACCCGTCCACCAACCTCCACTCGTCCACCCACCCTCACTCGTCCACCCACCCCCACTCGTCCACCCACCCACACTCGTCCACCCACCCTCACTCGTCCACCCACCTCACTCGTCCACCCACCCCACTCGTCCACCCACCCTCACTCGTCCACCCACCCCGACTCGTCCACCCACCCACACTCGTCCACCCACCTCCACTCGTCCACCCACCCTCACACGTCCACCCACCTCCACTCGTCCACCCACCCTCACTCGTCAATCTAAACGACGATGATGTAAAAGTGCACCGTAGCTCCCAGTGGCTTTCTCAAATCGGAAGGAAGAAGCGTTCCAGACGGCCACAGGAGCAGCAACGGCGGTCACCGCGACGATGCGGCGACCGCCGTTTGGCCCGCGAGTGGCCAACAGCCGCTGGCCGGAGTTCGCGTATTGACGGCAGAGGTCGCAACCGGGTACCCGATACCCGTACCCTACCCGATACCCGGCTACCCGTACCCGGGTACGGGTACCCGTTTGCGACCCTGGTGCGGCCGGGTACGGGTACAGGTAGGCCGTGAGTCACTGGTGAGTCACCGTTTGTCACTCATTTCCCAACGTCTTGTCTCTTCTCACAATTCAAGTTCCTAGAATCAACCCACCCGTGCCTGCAACATGGCTTCATCCCAGAGGTCGCAATCGGGTACCCGATACCCATACCCTACCCGTACCCGGCCGGGTACGGGTAGGGTACGGGTACGGCCGGGTACGGGTACCCGTTTTCGACCCTGGTGCGGCTGGGTACGGGTAGGCCGTGAGTCACTGGTGAGTCACCGTTTGTCACTCATTTCGGGTAGGGTACGGGTAGGGAACGAGTACCCGTACCCGGCCGGGTACGGGTACGGGTAACCATTTGCGACCCTGGTGCAGCCGGGTACGGGTACGGGTAAGGAATCAAAACCCGTTTGCGACCTCTGATTGACGGTGGAAGTTCCTGGACGATCTCGCGTCACCTTCGTCCCACCCCGTACCTCCTGTCGCCCCACCATCGTCAGGTGGCGTACCGGCGAAGCGTGGACGCGCCGGAGGGCGCCATAGCCCGGCTGAGGACGCCGGGCGGTGCCAAGGCCCACGTCCGCCTGCTGGGCCTTCGCGAGCACACGGAGTACGAGGTGACGGTCCAGGCCTTCAACAGCGCCGGGACGGGGCCTTCCGGCGCGGCGAGCCTGGTCACAACTAGGAAAGCACGTGGGTTACACCACGCGACTCACCGTGTTACACCACGTGGGTTAGACCACGTGACTCACTGTGTTACACCACGTGCGTTACACCACGTGACTCAATGTGTTACACCACGTGCGTTACATCACGTGACTCACTGTGTTACACCACGTGCGTTACACCACGTGACTCACTGTGTTACACCACGTGGGTTACACCACGTGACTCACTGTGTTACACCTCGCGTCGGCGTGGATGCCTGGTCACGTGAGCGTTTACAGGCGCCTGCAGAGCCAGTGGTGGGAACTCAAGGTTCCTGCGGTGCGGACGAATCTATCCATGAGACGACCCCTTTTCACTTACTCACCCACCCTCCCAATCACTCATCCACCCAATTACTCACCTACCCAATCACTCACCCACCCACTCACCCACTCACTCACCCGCTCACCCACCCACCCACCCATTCACCCACCCACCCACCCATTCACCCACCCACTCACCCACCCTCCTCACCCACTCACCCACCCTCCTCACCCCAACTCACCCACCCTCCTCACCCACTCACCCACCCTCCTCACCCACTCACCCACCCACCCTCCCACTCACCCACCCTCCCACTCACCCACCCACCCACTCACCCTCCCACTCACCCACCCTCCCACTCACTCACCCACCCACTCACCCACCCACTCACCCACCCACTCACCCTCCCACTCACCCACCCTCCCACTCACTCACCCTCCCACTCACCCACTCACCCACCCACCCTCCCACTCACTCACTCACCCACTCACCCTCCCACTCACCCACCCTCCCACTGACTCACCCACCCACTCACCCACCCACTCACCCTCCCACTCACCCACCCTCCCACTCACCCACCCTCCCACTCACTCACCCTCCCACTCACCCACCCTCCCACCCACTCACCCACCCTCTCACCCTCCCACCCACTCACCCACCCACTCACCCTCCACTCACCCACCCTCCCACTCACCCACTCACCCACTCACCCTCCCACTCACCCACCCTCCCACTCACCCACCCTCCCACTCACTCACCCACCCACCCACCCACCCACTCACTCACTCACCCACCCACCCTCCCACTCACCCACCCACCCACTCACCCACCCTCCCACTCACCCACCCACTCACCCATTCACCCACCCACCCACTCACCCACCCACCCACTCACCCACCCACCCACTCACCCACCCTCCCACTCACCCACCCATCCACCCACTCACCCACTCACCCACCCACCCACCCACTCACCCTCCCACTCACCCACCCACTCACCTACCCACTCACCCACCCACTCACCCACCCACTCACCCATTCACCCACCCACTCACCCACCCACTCACCCTCCCACTCACCCACCCACTCACCCTCCCACTCACCCACCCACCCTCCTACTCACCCACTCACTCACCTTCCCACTCACTCACTCACTCACCTTCCTACTCACCCACTCACCTTCCCACTCACCCACTCACCCACCCACTCACCCTCCCACTCACCCACTCACCCACCCACTCACCCTCCCACTCACCCTCCCACTCACCCACCCACCCACCCACTCACCCTCCCACTCACCCACTCACCCACCCACTCACCCTCCCACTCATCCACTCACCCACCCACTCACCCTCCCACTCACCCACTCACCCACCCACTCACCCACCCACTCACCCTCCCACTCACCCACTCACCCACCCACTCACCCACCCACTCACCCTCCCACTCACCCACACAGTTAACCGACTCCGTGCCGTACAGACGCGAGAATTCTCGTCCTCGTTCAGCCGACGGCGGCGAAGGCGACCCGAGTGAGAGGTCTCGGCGTAGCCCCCCCCCCCCACCCCCCGTAACCCCCCCACTTCCCCCCCACTCCCCCCCGGTTCGCCCGTCGCAGCTCCGAGCAAGCCGCCCAGAATCACCCAGTGGCGGACGGACGGCGTGCACGTGACCCTCAGCTGGGAGCACGTCGCCCCTCTCGACAACGAGTCCGCCGTCACCGGCTACAAGGTGGGGGCCGGGTCACCTTGCCCCCCCCTCCACCCCCCCCCCCCTCCACCCCCCCCTCCACCCCCCGGGGCACAAGGTGGGGCCGGGTCACCTCACCTTGCCCCCCCCCTCCACCCCCCCCCCCGCCATTCCCGCACCTCCCATCAGCGCCATTGGCAGCGCACGGTGCGGATGAATCTCGAGGTGCACGCTGCGATGCACACTCCGAATGTGCAGGCGTCAAGGGGGGGGGGGTGGTTCGGCATCGAACCCGCGACCTCGTGAACGTGACTGACCACAAGGAGGAGGGAGGACGAGGAACAGGCCGAGAGAGCGAGCGAAGATTGGGAGCTTCTGCAGCTTCCAGCAGGGACGTAGCAGGGAAGGCAGGGTGGCGAGGTAGGGCGGTGGGGGTGACGTGTCCCGTGTCCACCGCCTGCTCACAGGTTCGATACCGCTCGCTGGGACAGGCGGGCGCCCGCGAGCTGCTCACCAACGAGACGCGGGTGGAGATCCCCTTGCCGGTCGGGGGTCGTGGCGGTGGTGGTGGTGGGGGCGGTGGGGGTGGTGGTGGCACGGCGCTCGTGGTGGAGGTGCGAGCCTGCAGCGCCGAGGGCGAGGGGAGTGCCAGCACGCAAGTGCAGGTGCCGCACAGGGCGAGCTCCGGTAGGCGCGGGCATAGCCGCCCGGTGCGTGTGTGTGTGTGCGTGTGGGTGTGTGCGTGTATGTGCGTATGTGTATGTGTGCGTGCGTGCGTGCGCGTGCGTGCGTGTGCGTGTGTGCGTGCGTGTGTGTGGGTGTGTGCGTGTGTGTGCATGTGTGCGTGTGTGTGTGTGTGCGTGCGTGTGCATGCGTGCGTGTGTGCGTGCGTGTGTGTGGGTGTGTGCGTGTGTGTGCATGTGTGCGTGTGTGTGTGTGTGCGTGCGTGCGTGTGCATGCGTGCGTGTGTGCGTGCGTGTGTGCGTTTGTGCACAGACTGCCCTACATGACATCATAACAACAGTCTGGACCACTGGACGGGTACCGCAGGATTGGAAGGGTGCCCTGGTGGTCCCCCTCTTTAAGAAGGGGGACCGCACAGACTGTAACAACTACAGGGGCATCTCACTCCTCAGTGTGCCGGGAAAGGTCCTGGCAAGGATTATTCAACATCGCCTTGCTAGGCACGCTGAGGAGAGGCTTGCGGAACCCCAATGCGGTTTCAGGAAAGGGCGGTCCTGTACAGATGCCATATTTTCTGTCCGTCTGCTACAGCAGGGGTGTAGGGAATTCCAACAAGACCTACATCTCTGCTTTATTTACCTGGTCAAGGCCTATGATACCATCAGTAGGCTTGGGCTCTGGGTTGTTCTTCGTGCTTTCGGAGTCCCTGACCCTCTGCTCACGATCATTAAGGACCTTCATGATGGTGAGCGGGCCCGGGTAAAACTACGTGGCCGGGAGTCGGAGCCTTTCCCTGTACACCTTGGGGTGCGACAGGGATGTCCTCTGGCTCCCACATTATTTAACATCTATTTAGACTGCGTAGTTCGTGAAGCCTTCAATAGCTGTACCGGGGGAATTTCCATTTGGTACAGATATAATGGGAGGCTGATCGACGCCCGGGCGCGATCAAGGGATGGCTCCCTATTGGTCAACCACGTTATGTATGCCGATGATTTGGTAATAGCTGCTCATTCAGAAGAGGAGTTGGAGACGCTGCTGCTGAGACTGGAGCGTGCCACTAAGAGGTGGGGCCTTACCATCAGCCCCACCAAAACTAAGCACCTGCCTGAGTATTTTGTACCATCGGACACTCCACCCCCACAACTCCCAATCGGTGATGGGGCAGTTGTGGAGAGAGTGGAGAGTTTCCCATACCTGGGCAGTGTGCTTATGACCGGCTCCAGTTTATCAGCAGAGGTCTCACTCCGAATCAGTCGAGCGGCAATATCTTTTCATCGGTTGCGTAACGCTGTGTGGAAGCTTCCTGGTCTGTCACTCCGCACGAAGCTTCAGGTCTTCTCGGCCACGGTCATTCCCTCCCTTCTCTACGCTTGCGAAATGTGGACCCCCCTAATGGAGCATCTTCGCCGGTTGGAAACATTTAGGCTGGCCTGCCTACGATCCATCCTGGGTTTAACCAGGCTGGATTGTGTGAGGAGCTCACAAATCCTTGAAAGATCTGGGCAAAGTCCCATCGGTGAGCTCCTCCGGCAGGCAAGGCTGCGTTTGCTGGGTCATGTAGCCCGCATGCCCAGCTACCGCATGCCTAAACAGCTTTTGTTCGGCCGGATCGAGGGGTCTAAACGGGCGCGGCAAGGGCTAGAGAAGAGATGGAGTATGGCGGTTGTTGTTGTGTGTGTGTGTGTGACCGTGAGAAGGGGTAGTGTAGTGGCCAGCGCATGAGCGGGCGAGTAAGTGGGTGAGTGGGTTGGTTGGTGCGTGGATGGGTGCGTGGGGGAGGGGTGAGTGGGTAGGTGAGTGAGTGAGTGGGTAGGTGAGTGAGTGGGTAGGTGAGTGAGTGGATAGGTGAGTGAGTGGGTGAGTGTGTTTTTACCTACAGTGCGGTGGTGGTAGTAGTAGTCTTCAACACGGGCGGACGGAGAAACCAACTCGTGAATTTCACGGTGAACAAATCGACACATCCCACCGCTAACCTCCCCGATCAGCCCACGAACGTTCCGATTGCCTCCTCGGTCTTCACGACCGCGTTTGTATCTCCCCCCCCCCACCCCCTCCCCCCTCCAGGGATGAAGCTGGGAGGATCGTTCAGCTCGGCGGGGGTCACCACGATGTCTGCGAGTCCGTGGGGCCTCACACTCATCCACGTCGCGCTCGCATCTCTCTTAGCGCGAGAGCCGTTCTCCTAGAGAGGGCAAGGCGGGCGGGGGGGCGGGCGGGCGGGCGGGCGGGGAACCACGGAGCCCGGGTTCGTATCGGGCCGCGCCCGGTGTTTTGTCGGAAGCTCCGAGGAGGAGGGGGAGGGGTTGGAATGGAATCAACGTCCCGCGCGACCCGAGGTGGAGCAACCGATTCGGCCGCGGGTCACCGGGGCCGAATGCGTCAAGAATCGCGTCATCGGTTGTCACCCCCTGATCTTGCCAAGCCCGGCTCGAATGTTGCAGTCTTAAAGAGGCATCGCAACAGCCAAACCCAGTTCGAACGTTGTAGTCTTAAAGAGGCATCACAACAGCCAATCCCAGCCTGAGGGTTGTAGTCTTAAAGAGGCATCACAACGACCAAGCCCAGCCTAAGGGTTGTAGTCTTAAAAAGGCATCACAACAGCCAATCCCAGCCTGAGGGCTGTAGTCTTAAAGAGGCATCAACAACAGCCAATCCCAGCCTGAGGGCTGTAGTCTTAAAGAGGCATCACAACAGCCAATCCCAGCCTGAGGGCTGTAGTCTTAAAGAGGCATCACAACAGCCAATCCCAGCCTGAGGGCTGTAGTCTTAAAGAGGCATCACAACAGCCAAGCCCAGCCTGAGGGCTGTAGTCTTAAAGAGGCATCACAACAACCAAGCCCAGCCTGAGGGTTGTAGTCTTAAAGAGGCATCATAACAGTCAAGCCCAGCCTGAGGGCTGTAGTCTTAAAGAGGCATCACAACAGCCAATCCCAGCCTGAGGGCTGTAGTCTTAAAGAGGCATCACAACAGCCAATCCCAGCCTGAGGGCTGTAGTCTTAAAGAGGCATCACAACAGCCAATCCCAGCCTGAGGGCTGTAGTCTTAAAGAGGCATCACAACAGCCAATCCCAGCCTGAGGGCTGTAGTCTTAAAGAGGCATCACAACAGCCAATCCCAGCCTGATGGCTGTAGTCTTAAAGAGGCATCACAACAGCCAATCCCAGCCTGAGGGCTGTAGTCTTAAAGAGGCATCACAACAGCCAATCCCAGCCTGAGGGCTGTAGTCTTAAAGAGGCATCACAACAACCAATCCCAGCCTGAGGCTGTAGTCTTAAAGAGGCATCACAACAACCAAGCCCAGCCTGAGGGTTGTAGTCTTAAAGAGGCATCATAACAGTCAAGCCCAGCCTGAGGGCTGTAGTCTTAAAGAGGCATCACAACAGCCAATCCCAGCCTGAGGGCTGTAGTCTTAAAGAGGCATCACAACAGCCAATCCCAGCCTGAGGGCTGTAGTCTTAAAGAGGCATCACAACAGCCAAGCCCAGCCTGAGGGCTGTAGTTTAGGTCCCCCCTGGGTGTAGTCTTAAAGAGGCATCACAACAACCAAGCCCAGCCTGAGGGTTGTAGTCTTAAAGAGGCATCATAACAGTCAAGCCCAGCCTGAGGGCTGTAGTCTTAAAGAGGCATCACAACAGCCAATCCCAGCCTGAGGGCTGTAGTCTTAAAGAGGCATCACAACAGCCAATCCCAGCCTGAGGGCTGTAGTCTTAAAGAGGCATCACAACAGCCAAGCCCAGCCTGAGGGCTGTAGTCTTAAAGAGGCATCACAACAACCAAGCCCAGCCTGAGGGTTGTAGTCTTAAAGAGGCATCATAACAGTCAAGCCCAGCCTGAGGGCTGTAGTCTTAAAGATGCATCATAACAGCCAAGCCCAGCTTGAGGGCTGTAGTCTTAAAGATGCATAATAACAGCCAAGCCCAGCTTGAGGGCTGTAGTCTTAAAGAGGCATCACAACAGCCAAGCCCAGCCTGAGGGCTGTAGTCTTAAAGAGGCATCACAACAGTCAAGCCCAGCCTGAGGGTTGTAGTCTTAAAGAGGCATCACAACAGCCAAGCCCAGCCTGAGGGCTGTAGTCTTAAAGAGGCATCGCAACAGCCAAGCCCAGCCTGAGGGCTGTAGTCTTAAATATGCATCATAACAGCCAAGCCCAGCTTGAGGGCTGTAGTCTTAAAGAGGCATCACAACAGCCAAGCCAGCTTGAGGGTTGTAGTCTTAAAGAGGCATCACAACAGCCAAGCCCAGCCTGAGGGTTGTAGTCTTAAAGAGGCATCACAACAGCCAAGCCCAGCATGAGGGCTGTAGTCTTAAAGAGGCATCATGACAGCCAAGACCAGCTTGAGGGCTTGGCTGTTACGGTTGGCTGCGTAGGGGTGTGAAAGAAGTTCAACACGCATACACACTACCCATAGACTCAACACTGCCCATAGATTCAACACTGCCCATAGACTCAACACTGCCCATAGACTCAAACAACTGCCCATAGACTCAACACTACCCATAGACTCAACACTGCCCATAGACTCAACACTGCCCATAGACTAACACTACCCATAGACTAACACTACCCATAGACTAACACTACCCATAGACTCAACACTGTCCATAGACTCAACACTGCCCATAGACTCAACACTGCCCATAGACTCAACACTGCCTATAGACTTAACACTACCCATAGACTCAACACTGCCCATAGACTCAACACTGCCCATAGACTCAACACTGCCCATAGACTCAACACTAAGCATAGACTCAACACTGCCCATAGACTCAACACTGCCCATAGACTCAACACTGCCCATAGACTCAACACTACCCATAGACTCAACACTACCCATAGACTCAACACTGCCCATAGACTAACACTGCCCATAGACTCAACAATGCCCACAGACTCAACACTGCCCACAGACTCAACACTGCCCACAGACTAAACACTGCCCACAGACTCAACACTGCCCATAGACTCAACACTGCCCATAGACTCAACACTGCCCATAGACTCAACACTGCCCATAGACTCAACACTGCTCATAGACTCAACACTGCCCATAGACTCAACACTGCCCATAGACTCAACACTACCCATAGACTCAACACTACCCATAGACTCAACACTACCCATAGACTCAACACTGCCCATAGACTCAACACTGCCCATAGTCTCAACACTGCCTATAGACTCAACACTACCCATAGACTCAACACTGCCCACAGACTCAACACTGCCCATAGACTCAACACTGCCCATAGACTCAACACTGCCCATAGACTCAACACTGCCCATAGACTCAACACTACCCATAGACTCAACACTGCCCATAGACTCAACACTGCCCATAGACTCAACACTACCCATAGACTCAACACAGCCCATAGACTCAACACTACCCATAGACTCAACACTACCCATAGACTCAACACTACCCATAGACTCAACACTGCCCATAGACTCAACACTGCCCATAGACTCAACACTGTCCACAGACTCAACACTGCCCACAGACTCAACACTGCCCACAGACTCAACACTGCCCATAGACTCAACACTGCCCATAGACTCAACACTACCCATAGACTCAACACTGCCCATAGACTAAACACTGCCCATAGACTCAACACTGCCTATAGACTCAACACTACCCATAGACTCAACACTGCCCACAGACTCAACACTGCCCATAGACACAACACTGCCCATAGACTCAACACTGCCCATAGACTCAACACTGCCCATAGACTCAACACTGCCCATAGACTCAACACTACCCAAGACTCAACACTGCCCATAGACCTCAACACTGCCCATAGACTCAACACTGCCCATAGACTCAACACTGCCCATAGACTCAACACTACCCATAGAATCAACACTACCCATAGACTCAACACTGCCCATAGACTAACACTTGCCATAGACTCAACACTGCCCATAGACTCAACCCTGCCCATAGACTCAACACTGCCCACAGACTCAACACTGCCCATAGACTCAACACTGCCATAGACTCAACACTACCCATAGCCTCACACTGCCCATAGACTAACACTACCCATAGACTCAACACTGCCCATAGACTCAACACTACCCATAGACACAACACTGGCCCATAGACTAACACTACCCATAGACTCAACACTGCCCATAGACTCACACTGCCCATAGACTCAACACTACCCATAGACTCAACACTGCCCATAGACTAACACTACCCATAGACTCAACACTGCCCATAGACCAACACTACCCATAGACTAACACCCACGGACCCTACCCCCATAGCTCACACTGCCCATAGACTAACACTACCCATAGACTCAACACTGCCCATAGACTCAACACTGCCCATAGACTCACACTGCCCATAGACTCAACACTGCCCATAGACTCAACACTACCCATAGACTCAACACTACCCATAGACCTCAACACTACCCATAGACTCAACACTGACCATAGACTCAACACTGCCCATAGACTCAACACTGCCCATAGACTCAACACTACCCATAGACTCAACACTGCCCATAGACTCAACACTACCCATAGACTCAACACTGCCCATAGACTCAACACTGCCCATAGACTCAACACTGCCCATAGACTCAACACTACCCATAGACTCAACACTGCCCATAGACTCAACACTACCCATAGACTCAACACTGCCCATAGACTCAACACTGCACCTCCGATTAGTATGGTTTGGCTACGTATGGTGTGAAAGAAGTCCAACATACGTACAACGCTCTCCAAAAACACATTAATGACTGGCATTTCTGACAGGTATAACACTGTTAAAATTGCTCGATGTGACTTCGAAAAGATAAATTCGTGGAAAAACAAAGTGACGTGTTTTTAAAAATAATTTAAATCGCTTTGGCACACACGTGCCTGTTACGTGTGTCTGTGTGCCTGTGTGTCTGTGCGTCTGTGTGTCTGTGTGTCTGTGTGTCTGCGTGTCTGTGTGTCTGTGTGCGTGTCTTTCAGTTAGCTGTTAGCGCGCTGCACTACGAACCCGGCGACCCGAGTTCGATTCCCGCTCACAGCCAACACCGGTGACAATTATCTGAACTGGTACTGGGCCTTCTCCCCTAGGTCGACTCAGCCTAAAATGAGTACCAGGTGCGGTGTGTAAACATCGCCACTGGGGAGACAAAGGCGGTCGGGCGTGGTGCTGGCCACCCACCCCCTCGTGTGCCGTGCCCGCCTTCATAGGTGCCACTCGCTAACAGCACTTGCCCCTACAGTCTGCGCCGGCTACATGGGGGACCTTTGTCTGTGTGTGCGTATCTTTGAGTTCCTTTGCGATGGTTCAAAGAAGTTGGGGGGGGGGGGGAAGTAATCGAAACATTTTCTTGCACAATGTCGCTTTTGACAGCCTAAATGTGTGAATTTTGATGTGTGTGGCTTTCTTAAAAAAAACTGTACATTTAAAAAAAACTTTTCTGGAGGGGATTTTTAGGTTTGAAGCACGGGTTTTTGTTGTTGTGTGTGTGCTTATGGGGGTTTGTATACTGCGGTCGACCCGTGGCACCTGCTGGGTCTGCCCCGTGACCTCCTGCCAGCGGGTGTTCGACACTTCACGTGGCCTCAAGGTGCACATGGCCTGGCACAAGCGTCGTGGTGACCTCACCGCCACTTAGTGGCGAATGGCGTTTGTTATTATACTGCGGAGAGAGGGACAAGCAAAAAGAATTCGTCAGTTTCAAAAAGTCACGGAAATAAACGTGGCGTCAAAACTAAAGCCCTCCTTTTTTCCTCCCCTGTTGCATTTCACCGAGTTCCTCTGAAGAGTCATGTTTGCATAGACCACAATACCTTGCAGCCATAATGCAAACAAAAAACATAACTTTGATAATATATGCACTGTCCTTGAAGTTGATTGGTCCACACCCGAGACAGCTTTCCTTAGAGCCTAGTCTCACATGACGAGGAACTTTAGTGCGCCTTTTGGCGTCATCTGGTCCAACCCATGTGAGACTAGGCTCTAAGGAAAGCTGTCTCTGGTGTGGACCAATAAACTTCAAGGACAGTGCATATATTATCAGAGTTATGCTTTTTGTTTGCATTATGGCTGCAGGTATTGTGGTCTATGCAAACATGACTCCTTGTAAAAAAAAGTGTCAGTTTTGTTGCCAGATAGATGGGTAAAAAAACAATTATCATATATTTTACTGGCAAATGAGGTTCCAATAATGGTTCCTCTGAAGAGTTTACGTGGAGCGGTCTTGCCAATAACATCTGGCAGCAGTTTTCGAACGGGCCTCACTTTGCTGATGAGACCCAGCAGGTTGAAACCGGGGCAGGGTTTCCTTGCGAAATGAAATGGCATTCCCGTCAACCCATATCCGTCAACCCACACGGTATAGCCCCCCGTATTCTTGTCCAGGGTAATTGGAGTTTTCAGGTCGATACCGCGTACAGCCGTTTCAATACGGGCAACATTTTTTGTATATTTCTGTGTTCTCCCTTGTGATGGGGACGTTGTAGGGTGAACGCTGGTCTGTGATAAGGTAGGCACTGATAAGGGGTTTATAGGTATGTGAGTTTCGATTTAAAGCTTTCGTGACTGCAGGGATTCATCTTCTTGGTTCTTTCGGTAAAGTCACGTAGAAGGGAAATAATAAAATAATCAAAATTAAACATAATAAAATACAATTCTCACGACGTTTCGGCCACAATGCAAGCAGCCGTCCTCAGGTGAAGAACAGGTCTGTCGGGAAGACAGTGTCATTCAGACACTGTCATTCAGACACTGTCTTCCCGACAGACCTGTTCTTCACCTGAGGATGGCTGCTTGCGTTGTGGCCGAAACGTCGTGAGAATTATTATATAATGTTTTATTTATTTTATTTTATTATTTCCCTTCTACGTGACTTTACCGAAAGAACCAAGAAGAGGTATGTGAGTGTGTGTATCTCTACATCAAGCAAGCAGCATCAGCATGCAAGATCATAGACAGTAGTAGCATGATAAGTATCATCATGGACACAAATTATCAAAATTAATACGTCAAAAAATTGTTTAGTGACGTAAGTTTTGTCTATTTGTGTTTCTCCCTTGTGGTGATGGGACTTTGTAGGAGGAACGCTGAGATTCATAAGGGTCACGGGGTGATCAACAAGGTCTGAGTTTGTCTGTGATCAGGTAGGGCACTGATAAGTGGTTGACATTCTAGATTTGAAGTTTTCGTGACTGCAAGTATCCACATTCTCTCTGGTTCTTTCGGTAAAGTCACGTAGGTGAAAAAATAAAATGAATAAAAATAACATAAGAATAAAAAATAATTATAATAAAAAATAAAAAATAAATAAATTCAATTAAATCACGACGTTTCGGAAGCAACACAAGCTTCCGTCATCGGGTGGGACAACCACAGAAATCTATTTTTTTATTTTTTTATTCTCATGTTTTTTTTAATTTTTTCACCTACGTCACCTTACCGACAGAAGCAGAGAGGAAGGGGTTGACAGGTTTGTGATAATAGTCTCTAGGTGCGACCGTGCCAAGATACAAATCACAATACGAGGGGGCCCATAGTCTCACACAGAGACCCATAGTCTCACACAGAGACCATATACTTACAGAGAGACCCATTGGCTCATACAGAGACCTATAGTCTCACACAGAGACCATATACTTACAGAGAGACCCATTGGCTCATACAGAGACCTATAGTCTCACACAGAGACCATATACTTACAGAGAGACCCATTGGCTCATACAGAGACCTATAGTCTCACACAGAGACCATATACTTACAGAGAGACCCATTGGCTCACACAGATACCCATAGTCTCACACAGAGACCCATAGTCTCACACAGAGACCATATACTTACAGAGAGACGCATTGGCTCATACAGAGACCTATAGTCTCACACAGAGACCATATACTTACAGAGAGACCCATTGGCTCATACAGAGACCCATAGTCTCACACAGAGACCATATACTTACAGAGAGACCCATTGGCTCATACAGAGACCCATAGTCTCAAACAGAGACCCATAGTCTCACACAGAGACCATATACTTACAGAGAGACCCATAGTCTCACACAGAGACCCATAGTCTCACACAGAGACCATATACTTACAGAGAGACCCATTGGCTCATACAGAGACCCATAGTCTCACACAGAGACCATATACTTACAGAGAGACCCATAGTCTCACACAGAGACCCATAGTCTCACACAGAGACCATATACTTACAGAGAGACCCCTTGGCTCATACAAAGACCCGTAGTCTCACACAGAGACCCATAGTCTCACACAGAGACCATATACTTACATAGAGACCACATATTCACATAGAAACCCATAGACCTGTACAGAGACCCACATACCCATGTGTGAAGGGGGATAAAACTATACTTTTGTTTTCGACTTTTGTTTTAAAGGATGAAAATTGCTTTAAAATGTATTAAAAACGCGCTGTCTCTTTGTGGGAGGAAAAAGGTCGGATATGGTTATGAATGATTTATTTAAAACCTATAACTGGCAAATGCAAGCGGGGCTTTTGTTAAAACGGTGCTTTGTTTTCTTACCAAATGCTGTCGGCTTCTCGTGTTTTCAATACTGTATACGGATGAATAATCGCGTGCATTGAAAGCTGTTAATAAAATTGTGAATTGGCCACTTCTCTTGTGCACTGGCCTTGTGCATTAACGTCACACATCGTCACAAATGTCTGACACCCTCCCCCCCTAGGTGCGTGACGTCATTTATGGACGGCCCCAAAGTCCCATCGCAAGAGAGAAACACAAACAAATAAGAATTACACATTTTGTGCCCGTATTGAAACGGCTGTACGTCGCATGGACATGAAAACTCAATTTGCCTGTACAATTTTTCGATTTAAAGCTTTCGTGACTGCAGGGATTCATCTTCTTGGTTATGTCGGTAAAGTCACGTAGAAGGGAAATAATTAATTAATATTTTATAAAACATAATAAAATAACATAATAATATAGTAAAATAAACTAATATGATATAAGAAAATAAAAAAATAAAATTATATAATATAATAAAATAGTTAAATAATATATTAATATAATATTATTATATTTCGATTTAAAGCTTTCGTGACTGCAGGGATTCATCTTCTTGGTTCTTTCGGTAAAGTCACGTAGAAGGGAAATAATAAAATAATAAAAATTTAACATAATAAAATATTATGTTTTATTTTAATAAAATATTATTTTTAAAATAATAAAAATAAAACATAATAAATATTACGTTTTATTTTAACAAAATATGTTTTATTTTTATTATTTTAAAACATTTTATGAAAATAAAACATAATATTTTATTATGTTTTATTTTTATTATAGTGCGGTGAGCGAAGCAAGTTGCAGGAGCTGCGCCCAAGTTTTTTATTTAAAAAAACTAATAAAAAAATGCGCAATTGAGTTTGTCAAAACGTTCATTGGTGATTCTGTGGACACAGTTTCCCACACAAAACGATGCACAGACATCGCAATCGGACGTTAAAGTTCAAGTGAAGCCCCATTATATTTCATTAATTAAAGAAAATATCTCGTTATTTACTGAATCGAAGATTGACGGCGGAAACAAAGATCGATTCCTCGAATTTCAAAATCGCATCGATTCCACAAAACCACGTTACGCTACACGGCGAATCGATCTGGCGCTGTTGCTAATCGAAACTAATTCGATTCCATTCATCGGAACGTTAAGCAGCGCGCAGGAATCGCGAGCGTGAAGTTAATTTTGGTTTTCGATTCAGGAGAATCGAATCGATTGGGGGGGGGGAAGAAGACGCCAACCCTTAGCAATGGCGGGAATTGCTCTGTCCTTGAGAAGCCGGTCGAGGTTAGCGTCGTCTCTCCTCGTCGTCGCCAGGCTCCCGGCGGCCGGAGGAGGCGAAGGAGCACAGGTAAGAGTCGATAGATGGAAGGCGTCACCCGTTAAAAACAAAACACGCGCGCGTCAAGAAACGGATTGGCTGTCGTGGTGTGTGTCACCCCCATACACGTGGAGCAGGCTTGGCGCTCACAACAACGAGCGGAGCGCCGGGCGGATAAAGCACAGCGAGTTAGCACAGTTGGGGGGCATAGGTGGTGCATCGGCCCTGTCATCTCGGCCGACCCGTGGCACCTGCTGGGTCTGCCCCGTGACCTAGTGCACCTAGCCTGCCACAGTAGGAGGTCAGGTGGTGGCATCGGCCAATCATCTCAGTCGACCCATGGCACCTGTCCTCTGCCCTGTGACCTGGTGCACCTAGCCTGGCACATTTGGCACAGGTGGTGCATCGGCTAGTTATCTCAGTAAGTCGACCCATGGCACCTGGGTCTGCCCCTATGGGCAGTGTTGAGTCTATGGGCAGTGTTGAGTCTATGGTGCAGTGTTGAGTCTATGGCCAGTGTTAGTCTATGGGTAGTGTTAGTCTATGGGCAGTGTTGAGTCTATGGCCAGTGTTAGTCTATGGGTAGTGTTGAGTCTATGGGCAGTGTTGAGTCTATGGGTAGTGTTGAGTCTATGGGCAGTGTTGAGTCTATGGGCAGTGTTGAGTCTATGGGTAGTGTTGAGTCTATGGGTAGTGTTAGTCTATGGGCAGTGTTGAGTCTATGGGTAGTGTTAGTCTATGGGCAGTGTTGAGTCTATGGGCAGTGTTGAGTCTATGGGTAGTGTTGAGTCTATGGGCAGTGTTGAGTCTATGGGCAGTGTTGAGTCTATGGGCAGTGTTGAGTCTATGGGTAGTGTTAGTCTATGGGCAGTGTTGAGTCTATGGGCAGTGTTGAGTCTATGGGCAGTGTTGAGTCAATGGGCGTTGTTGAGTCAATGGGCGTTGTTGAGTCTATGCGCATTGTGTATGTACAGCATGTGTAACTTCATTTGCACCGTACGTAGCCGACCGTGCTAATCTGAGGTGCGGCGAAACCCTCCCCCCCCCCAAGGTGTTGCGGAGGGTCGCGGCTCTGAGGCCCGTCTGGCCGGCCGCCCCTCCGCTGTGGAGGCCTCGCTGCACGGCCGCGACGGGGGAGTTGACCCCGGCGGCCCCTGACCCCCTGGCCCACCTGCGGCAGAACCCCTGGGAGTATCTGGACAGCGAAGGTGATTGACCCCCCCACCCAAAGACCCTCCACCCCCCCCCTCCCCCCACGGTAGCAGCTGTCCTTGTGCGGCGTAAAGTGAACGCAGCACCGGCCGGCAAGCGTGCATTGCTCTGCCAGTAGGGGGGCGATGTTGCTTTGTCGCTTTTCCCAAATCGATCGAAGGGTCGGTCAGAACTGGGTGACAACAGAAAAAACCCAGCGCCCTTTTTGTCGGCAAAAGATGAAACCTACCCGGGGCCTGAACCCTGGATCTCGGCAGTGCCGGCTCGGTGTCTCTAACATCCGAGCCACCTGGACCCAGAGCCGGTGATGGAAGTTCCACGTGGCCGTGGCAGGGCCCAGTCTGTCCGATGGCGAACCGTTGTTTTCTTTCTTCCGCAGAATATATCGAGCGCTATGGGGAGATTCCCATCTGGAAGGATTACAGACGGAACCACAAAGGTGGAATCCCTCCCCAGAAAACACGCAAGACCTGCATCGTAAGACTAAGTGCACTGGAGTTCTTCACTCATTTTCAGAGAGGGCGGGGCGTCATCAGTAGTGTGAGGGCCACCACCAGAGGTCGCAACCGGGTACCCGATACCCATACCCTACCCGAAACCCGGCTACCCGTACCCGGCCAGGTACGGGTACCCGTTTGCGACCCTGGTGCGGCCGGGTACGGGTACGGGTAGGCCGTGAGTCACTGGTGAGTAACCGTTTGTCACTCATTTCGGGTAGGGTACGGGTAGCATACGGGTACCCATTTGCGACCCTGGTGCGGCCGGGTACGGGTACGGGTAAGGAATCAAAACCCGTTTGCGACCTCTGGCCACCACACATTTGAAACCATTGGGGGTTTGACAGCAGCACGATGACGGGGGGGAGGGGGGCAGAGGGAGTGTTATCAGATTTGTGTATTGTCAGGGGTCTTTAGTGGCCCACGGGCCTTGCAATGAAGAACATTGAAACACACCTTGTCATCGTCATCAGTTTCATTTTTCATGTTTCATTTATTAGGTATAGTCCTGTGAGCCATTCGCTCTTGAATCGGGTGCAACCGCAACAAACAAAAACTAAAACATGAACATGAAAACATCTTAAAGTGAATATGTGACTATGTGCAAATAGAAAATCCAAGAAAAGACACCAAAATATTGCAGAAAAAAGCACCGTACACCAACACTGTGTGCAAAAATCCCAGTGGGATGCAAGTCAAACAACAACAACCACAAGACAACTTAGATTAAGCCATCATTCTAACGCCGTACTCCGACAAACAAACATGGCCAGATCAAAAAACTTTTCGAAATCACCAAAATAAAGCCATGAAAGCAATGTAACAGTGATCATAATTTCACAATAAACGACATAAACAACATGTACCACCAAACCCTGCAGCCATAGCTGTCTGCATGAGTGACTCCACAACAGCAGGAGCACCAGTTGCTTCATTAGCAGCAGCAGCAAAACCAGCATCGTGGGACTAAACACATGCATATCATCACCATCGGCAGTGTGGCATAATCATCACCATCGGCAACATACACTGCGCAATTATTATCAGCATCCGCAGCCTCGGCATCATCATCAGCAGAAGCATAAATAGTTGCAGCATAATCATTGTCAGCAGCTATATCAGCATTACATCGGAATCATTACCGTCGTCATCGGCAGCAACGGGAGGGATTCAGAGTGGCGTTGGTCACACGGAGGTCACGTGTTTTACGGGAGGTTTGAGCTTCATTTGAATGTACGGATAAGCAGTCAGATTTTCGCGCGCGTGTTGTTCCCGTGTTACAGAGAGGAAGTAACGTCTGTTCAAACCCGTGCCCGGCTTGCCGAGACCCAAAGATCATAATGGACTTCAAGGTAAGCAAGCGGCTGGTTGGGGGTGTTCAGCAGACATCACTCACAATTATACGGTTGATCGTCGATTGTAATTTACCGGCTGCATCCAACATCTGGCGGTCCCGGGCCGATCCGGCGAAACTGGCAAAGCCGCTCCGAAGGCTGTAACCAGTGCAGCGATCGGCACCGTGTGCGTGACGAAAAAAGTAGCTTGATTTCAGTGTCAAATATATACAACACATTCCTGCGGAGGGAGCTGGTAGGAACGTTGGGTTGCTCGGTCAATGGCCAGGGTCAACGGCGGCGTGGTGTATTCCGCAAATATGCCCGACTGTGAGGGCGGGCACAAGCCGGCGTGAGTAGGTTAAACGTTTAGTTTTATAAGGGCACCACGGGGTGACCAGCCCCTCCCCACCCAGCCCCACCCCACCCAGCCCCTCCCCACCCTCCTCACCCAGCCCCTCCCCACCCAGCCCCACCCTCCCCACCCTCCCCACCCAGCCCCTCCCTCCCCACCCAGCCCCTCCCTGCACGACGGACGGACGGACACAATAATCCCCTGTGGGCTAGTGTAACCAGGAGGTTCCTACCAGTACTATACACTACGTAGTAGCTATGCTTGATTTCAGTGTCAAATATTGTTTACACTACATTCTAAACTACATAATAGTTATGCTTGATTTCAGTGTCAAATATTAAATACTATTATCAAACACATGCTGTGTTGAAACAAGAGCGTAGCAACATGTACACCACCCCATGCAGAGTCTTGGAGATTGGAGTGGTAAGTACGGTTCGTTAAATACATTAACTTTTTACAGTAGGATATTTCTGTTTGTCTTTGTATATTTATGCCAGTTTCACATAGTAAACAAATTTAAAACGCAACAAAAAACATGCACAACACCTAAAGACACAATGTTTTTCAAGAATGTGCAAAAATAAGCTATTTGAAATCATGATGATATAATGATTATCCGGCGTTTACAAATATCTGGCACCCCCTCCCCCCTGAAGCCTCCGGCTAATCGATGATCGACTGTAATAACAAAACAAGCTGACCAAAAACATTCCACTTCGCGAGCCTCTGCCAACTTTCCATCTTCCACCTCAGCGTGAATGCCCCCTCGGGACCGTTGTTGTGGTAGTTGTTGTGGTTGTTGGTGGTGGTGGTGTGGTTGTTGTGTTTTTTTTTTTTGGTGCGGTTGTGGTTGGCATGATTGTTGTCGGCGTTGTTGCAGTGGTGGTCGTTGTTGGTTTTGCGTTCGCTTGATGGCTATTCCATGTGTAGAGGGATGTTAGAAAGATAAAGGTGCAGCCCTGCAGATTCTTTCTCGGCTCACTGCTTGCCGGAAGCTGCCTCTGCTCTCAGGAGCTCTATGGAGCGATTTGCCCTGCTCTTCCATGCTGACTAGACATATTGGAAGAGATATATATTCTTGGTTCTTTCGGTAAAGTCATGTAGATAGACAATCAAATAATACAATTAAAGAAAACATTTAAAAAAAATAAAATAAATTTTTTTTAAATAATACGTGGTGGTTTAGTTACTGCAGCTACATACTATTAACATTCCTTCACTTTATTAATGCTACCCCTATCCCCTCCCTTTGATGCTGCTATTCCTGCATAATGCACGGGCATAATGACTTTAAACCCCCCGCCCACCTCCTACACATTCCACTGGTAGTACTAATCACATATCTGCATTTCCCATAAATATGCTAAATTCCTCTTGATATGCAAATTATTTTGTCAAGGCGCTCTCCCCCTTCCAACCCAGCTTAAATATACGCTCCAAGCGTGGTGGTGTTTCATTCAGACGCTGTCTCCCCGACAGACCTATTCTCCACCTGAGGACGGCTGCTTGCGTTGTGGCCGAAACGTCGTGAGAATTATTTTATTATGTTTTATTTTTATATTTTATTCTTTCCCTTCTACGTGACTTTAACCGAAAGAACCAAGAAAAAAAAAGAGGTTTTCAATTGCCCACACTTTACCCCATCACACTCGGCCAGCTGCTGGCGTTCCCATTAACACCGCCGGGTAGACGGACAACAGGCAGCGGTGGCGAGGAGGAGGAGGATTTCAGAAACTTCCACCGTCGTTTGCGCTGCCGTGCCAGGAGATGGAATTGAACCCTGCGGCCGCTGGATTATAAGTCAAGCGTGCTGGCCATTTAAGCGCGCGGGCCAGAGCAGATAACCGGAAACCCCCTTGGGATGGAACAGACACTTTTAGCCGTGTGTGGATTTATTCACACGGCTATTTAACAAACACATTCGTGATTTGCTGGTTTTTGGCCGCACGAACAAATTGGAGTCGCTGAAGTGATGCCTCCTCAGCTGCTACGGACGACGAGTAAAATTAATATCTCGTCTGCGCCAGGCTAATTATCCTATGCCAGTATCCTCTAAATTAGAATTATAGACACTATATATATACACACACACATTGACATTGTTGTTATTCACTGAACACAGTGGTGCTTAGCCTTTACTGCAGCCTTTGCACGCCTTTGATTCTCAATCGTAAAACAAAATTACAACGTTATAAAGACACACAGGTTTGATGAAACAAGTAAGTTGTATCTTCTTGGTTCTTTCGGTAAAGTCACGTAGAAGGGAAGTAATAAAATAATAAAATAAAACATAATAAAATAAAATAATTCTCACGACGTTTCGGCTACAACGCAAGCAGCCGTCTTCAGGTGAAGAATGAGACACTACCAAGCTAGGAGCTTATATATAAGCTGCGTTGGAGGTGCAAGAAGAGCGCCTTAACAAAAAGAATGTGCATATGAAGAATATGCTAAATTCCTCTTCATATGCACATTCTTTTTGTTAAGCCGCTCTTCCACCTTCAACCCAGCTTATACTGGTAGGAACGAAGTGGACCAGACCACCAATAGATTAATGTGTCCGTCCGTCCGTCCGTCCGACTGTCCGTCCGTCCGTCCGACTGTCCGTCCGTCCGTCCCTCCGTGTATCAACATCGCCCCCTACTGCAAACACTTGGCATGACCCTACAAAAACCTTTAGACTCAGTGACGCTATCCTGGTAGCAACATCGCCCCCTACTGCAAACACTTGGCATGACACGTGTAACATTCCCTTATTCCCTGAGATAGCTTTTGATTAAAACCTTGAAATTAAAGTAAAGTGCGCGCGTTTCGTTAACATTAACGTGAGTAGCCGCGTGTAAGAGTTACATTTTAACGAGACGCGCGCAACTATAATGTTACTGAGGCCTAGTCCGTTAGCGCCTCGTATACAGCCTTAGGCTTTTGCGTGGCAAGGTATATTAAGCGTTTATTTTAATGTTTATAAAAAAATAATTGCACTTTTAACATTACCGCGAGTAGCCGCGTGTAAGAGTTACATTTTAACGACAGGCGTGCGCGCTATAATCAGTAGTTTATAAACTGTATTAGTCACTTTAAAGTTACTGAGGCCTAGTCATTCAGCGCCTCGTATACAGCCTTAGGCCTTTGCGTGGCAAGGTATATGAAGCGTTTATTTAATATGTTATAAAAAGTGAATTGCACTTTTAACATTAACGTCAGTAGCCGCGTGTAAGAGTTACATTTTAACGAGACGCGCGCACTATAATGAGTGGTTTATAACTTTATTTGTCACTTTTAAGTTACTGAGGCCTAGTCCGTTAGCGCCTCGTATACAGCCTTAGGCCTTTGCGTGGCAAGGTATATTAAGCGTTTATTTTAATTTGTTTATAAAAAATAAATTGCACTTTTAACATTAACGCGAGTAGCCACGTGTAAGAGTTAAATTTTAACGACAGGCGCGCGCTATAATCAGTAGTTTATAAACTGTATTAGTCACTTTAAAGTTATTGAGGCCTAGTCCGTAAGCGCCTCGTATACAGCCTTAGGCTTTTGCGTGGCAAGGTATATTAAGCGTTTATTTTAATGTTTATAAAAAATAAATTGCACTTTTAACATTAACGTGAGTAGCCGCGTGTAAGAGTTACATTTTAACGAGACGCGCGCACTATAATGAGTGGTTTATTAACTTTATTAGTCACTTTAAAGTTACTGAGGCCTAGTTAAAATAATAAAAATAAAACATTGTGAGAATTATTTTATTATGTTTTATTTTTATTATTTGATTACTTCCCTTCTCCGTGACTTTACCGAAAGAACCAAGAAGACGCATAATATTGTTGTGGATTCGCTCTCCAGCACACCGGTGTTGCTGTACGACTCACGAATTGGCCACGTTCTGGTCACGCTGTGTCGGGTGGTGGTGGGTTTAACGACACATTTACGCTATCTAACCCCCCCCCCCCCCCAAATAAAAAAAACTACATTATGGATGATATTGGTCGCGAAAGCCTACTACGTGTTAAACTAATACTGGTAGGAACGAAGTGGACCAGACCACCAATAGATTAATGTGTCCGTCCGTCCGTCCGTGGGAGGGGTGGTGTTGAGGGTGGTGTTGGAAATGAAAGACTACGAGTCTTTAAATCTCACAGCGTTTCTTGTCAAAACAACACTTTTAATTAACGTTACACTAGAATACAGTAATTTTTCTTTAACTCCTCTATACCCGGTCGATATCTCTGTACCGGTACTAAGTATTATTCCTACCAGCCCACCCCGCAGGGTCCTGTTATATAAGCTCTAGCTTGGTAGTGTCTCATTCTTCACCTGAAGACGGCTGCTTGCGTTGTAGCCGAAACGTCGTGAGAATTTTTTATTTTATTATGTTTTATTTTATTATTTGATTACTTCCCTTCTACGTGACTTTACCGAAGAACCAAGAAGATGAAAAGTAAGTTGTACTTACATGCCCATGCTTAATTTGTGTTTTTCGATGATTTGCTTCTAAAAGAATCTGCCCGTGTCTCGCTACCCCCCAGAAAGGGCATCTCGCACACCCAAGAGGTGACGTGCACCCCAGGTGAAGAAGAACCACTTAATTAACACTTCTTGTGGTGTCCTTGCAGAACATCCGTCTTCTGCAGCAGTTATTTGCCCACACCAAGGCATTGTGTTTGACCCGTCGCTAACCGGTGAGTGAATTGATCACAATTAATAGAATGGGCGTCGGTTCCAAACGTACCGCATTATTAACTATTAATACACTTCTGTTTCATGTCAATTTTATTCACAGGCCTCTGCCAAAGGCAGCATAAGAATCTGCTGGCGGCGATTAAGAAAGCCCAAGATTACGGTACGTAATTGTATTATTTTCTTGCTGAACTGGAGAAAGTTGAGTGGCAGACAAGAGCGAGTGAGTGTGTGGTGTGCATGTCCTGTACCCTCCGGTGGCACATGCCCCCCCAATGATCCGATCGAAATCCCTAATTTCAATCAGACCATTGGGGTTTATTAGTAATAATTCGGCATTTTGCGACCCCCACTGCCACTGTGTAGCATATTACTACGTGCCAGGGACTCTATGAGATGATAGGACAATAGTCTGAGTCTATAATTGGCAATAGTAACGGCAAAGCGGTTATAAGCGACTCACAGAACTGTGCGCAGTTGCGTATACAGCGCACGGACTTCCCTGAAGGCATCAACAACTTCAGCGAGCGCGATGCCGAATCAACACGACGCGGTTCGAATTCGACCCTCGATCGACGGCTGCGCCATCACCGCACACGCGTCGAATCAAACGAAGGGACAAGTCTCACTAACAACTCTATCATTTTTCATTGTTGGAGGGGTTGCCCCCCTCCCTACCTGAAATCCAATTAGCAGGGCTGGCTATGTACGGTGGTGCGGTTTCAACACACACAAGCCCCGTGCCCCCCCCCTAAATTTTCAGTGTTTGTGTTTTGTTGGGTTTGACTGCGCTGTGCGCTTACGCCGGGCTGCTGCTGATGGAGCTGCCGCTGCTCGCCGAGCCGGCGACGCCGGAGGACTTCACGGAACGCGCACGGGTGCCGTGTCGCTCACCCCCCCGCCGCCCCACGGCGCCGGCGGATCTCCCGGCGAGCCGCGTGAGCCGTGGTACCCGTGGTACGCCTGGAGGCAGCCGCCACGCCCGCGATGTGGAGAAACTACGCAAGCTCTACAAGGATTCCTCAAGAAAGACTGACGATGACGTCGACACTGGTGATGGTCGTGGATGACGAGGATGACGACGCTGATGATGATGACGATGATGATGATGATGACGATGATGACGATGATGATGAATGACGACGATGATGATGATGACGACGATGACGCTGATGATGATGATGACGACGATAATGACGACGATGATGATGATGACGATGATGATGATGACGATGATGACGACGACGACGATGATAACGACGACGACGATGATGACGATGACGACGACGATGATGACGATGCTGATGATGACGATGACGACGATGATGACGACGTTGATGACGACGATGATGACGATGATGACGACGTTGATGACGACGTTGATGACGATGTTGATGACGACGCTGATGACGACGTTGATGATGACGCTGACTACGACGATGACTACGACGATGACGACGCACCGCTGACATCGGAGATTAGCGGCGAGCCGAAAACTAGGAGGGGATACGGCAAATGTAACGATGATAATGTTTTTGATATGGTGCCTTTTTACTCCGGGCGGGCGGGGGGGGTCGTATCGGAGCCCTTTGCACGCAATGCGCGACCGACTTGCATCTCGTCTCAAACATTTATCAAGGATGCCCCCGGTGGCAGCTGTCCACGCGCAGCCAAAGCGACTCGGCACTTGTCCTGCGAGCGGGCATCAGTCTGCCGCCAGTAGGGATGATTGCTCTGTGTAATCCCAGCTGAGTGATTATCGTGCAGAGGTTGGTACTTCCTGCTCAGTGTCACCTTGTCCATTACTCGTTTGGTTCTTTCGGTAAAGTCGCGTATAAAGAGAAAGCAATACATTAAATACTAGCATACGACGTTTCGATTGCAACACAAGCAATCGTCATCATCAGATATAAATTAAATAGAAACACAAATCTAGTATACTTAGAAATGTAATGTAATACAACAGAGAGTCGGATAACATAACAGTCAACACCCTACCTGGTTGATTACGTTCTTCCTGAGAATGCCAAATTTTAGAGAGAGATAAACCACAGAACCAGAGACATAAGTAGAGACAGATATCACAGAGATACATACATAGGCACACAGAGAAACCACGCCTCTGTCGAGGCCTTAAATAGAGAGAGGGGGCGGAGAGAGGGAGGGGTTAGATAAATTAGCATGTCAGTGAGTGGCACGGTGATGATTGCTTGTGTTGCAATCGAAACGTCGTATGCTAGTATTGAATTTATTATTTTCTCTTTCTACGTGACTTCACCGAAAGAACTAAAAGAGTAATTCCTGCAGTCACGAAAGCTCCAAATGAACCTTGTCCTTGTTGAACCAGGAGATGAAATAAAAAAGCGATTGTGACTCGTGAAACTTTGCCTATTTGCAAGGGGGGCTACCTGGGTGAGTGTGAGTGGTTGATTGTGTGAGTGGTTGAGTGAGTTCAGTGGTTGATTGTGTGAGTGGTTGATTGTGAGTGGTTGAGTGTGTGAGTGGTTGATTGTGTGATTGGTTGAGTGAGTGAGTGAGTGGTTGTGTGAGTGGTTGAGTGTGTTGATTGAGTGTGTTAGTGGTTGAGTGTGAGTGGTTGAGTGAGTGGTTGATTGTGTGAGCAGTTGAGTGAGTGGTTGATTGTGTGAGTGGTTGAGTTAGTGAGTGGTTGAGTGTGTGAGTGAGTGGTTGAGTGAGTGGTTGAGTGTGTGAGTGGTTGAGTAAGTGGTTGAGTGAGTGAGTGTGAGTGAGTGGTTGAGTTAGTGGTTGTGTGAGTGGTTGTGTGTGAGTGTAATCGCGGAATACGTTCATTGATCCAGGTGAGAACATCGAGCGCTGCTCGACCGCGGCATGGAATTCAATTTCCCCCATCGACGACCACCACCACCACGTGGCCTCGATGGCAGCGGCGGCGGCCATGCTGAGTCGAGACATTTCACGACGTTGTCGTGTTGGCCGTAAAGCACCCCACACTTTGCGGCATCAGCTGACTGCTCAGCTGATTCCGGGATTGTCATTGTAACTGGGGCTGTTTCGGGCTGTCGCTCTTTCTCCCACGGGAACATTTTCGAACGCTTAGAAGCGATTTAATAACAATTAGCAGTGTTTATTAAGCCCCTACCTAACCAACCCCCCTCCTTACCACCGCCCAGCAATTGTTTAAATCCCTTGGCGATTATCACGAAGGCTTTACAACAACAATTATTAAGGATTTACAACCAACAACAGTCTTCTTCTTTGACGTCGTCGTTGTTGTTGTTGGACGATGTTTGGCGGCGGGGACGAGGATGACGGAGACTTCGTCACGGCGCCAAGCGGGTAGGAGACGCCTTGCGAACGCGACCACTCGATACTTTCCACCGTGCGTTTGTGTGGTGCTCGCTAACAGCACTTGCCCCTACAGTCTGGTAAGGCTATACGGGTGATCTTTGTCTTTGTGGTGCTCGCTAACAGCACTTGCCCCAACAGTCTGTGAAGGCTATACGGGTGATCTTTGTCTCTGTGGTGCTCGCTAACAGCACTTGCCCCTACAATCTGTTAAGGCTACACGGGTGATCTTTGTCTTTGTGGTGCTCGCTAACAGCACTTGCCCCTACAGTCTGTTAAGGCTACACGGGTGATCTTTGTCTTTGTGGTGCTCGCTAACAGCACTTGCCCTACAATCTGTTAAGGCTACACGGGTGATCTTGTCTTTGTGGTGCTCGCTAACAGCACTTGCCCCTACAGTCTGTTTAGGCTACACGGGTGATCTTTGTCTTTGTGGTGCTCGCTAACAGCACTTGCCCCTACAATCTGTTAAGGCTACACGGGTGATCTTTGTCTTTGTGGTGCTCGCTAACAGCACTTGCCCCTACAGTCTGTTAAGGCTACATGGGGGATCTTTGTGGGGAGCGGTGGGTGTAGTGGTTAGCGCTGCGTTACGAACCCGCGGCCCGAGTTCGATTCCCGCTCACGGCCAACCAACATCAGTGACGATGATCTGAGCCAGGTTCCGGGCCTCCCTAGGTCGACTCAGCCTCAAATGAGTTCCTGGTGCGGTGTGTAAACATCGCCACTGGGGAGACAAAGGCGGCCGGGCGTGGTGCTGGCCACCCACCCCTCGTGTGCCACAGTGCCGGTAGCCTTCATAGGCGCTGCTACTCGCTAACAGCCTGTTAGAGGCTACACGGGGGATTCTTTGTATCGCCCCTAGGTCGACTCAGCCTCAAATGAATACCTGGTGTTGTGTGTGAGCCTGGCTATGAGAGAAACAAAGGCGGTCGGGCGTGGACCTGCCCGCTATCGGCACACATACCACGCTTCCTCGTGTGAGCTGCTGTTAGTTTAGTTCCGCTTTTTGTTTCTTCTGCTCCTTACATCCACTCGTCTTCTCCTTCGAGATGACACGGCAGACGTGCAGATTCCACAGGGCTCGAGCGAGAGAGTGGAGTT